GCCGCGGTTCCAATCCCATCTGGGTGTACCGGCGCTCGATGCGCAGCAGAAAGGCCTGCATAGTGCTGCCGTCTTCTGGTAGTATGAGAGTCGTTGCGCCGGATCCCACGGTCCCCCCTATAACAGTTCTTATCACACTCATAGCGGACTGAAATTGGTCCCACGTGACGAAGGGACTATCCCCTGGCATAACATTGGTCATAGGTATCACCTGTGGGGGCGCCTCCTTATTCCCATGCGGCCGCTCTGCCACGGTGGGCTTCGGAGTCGCATGGCGATGATGGACTGGCGTCCCGCTCGGCATTTTGTTGACTGACATTGTAGAAGTCTCCTGCGGTGTGGGGCAGATAACGCGTCCGTTGCGGAGATGCATCCCTTATCGAGCGAAGATTTCTAGGTACGAGTTATTCAAACATATTATTTCTACTCCCAAGTCCGGAAAGAACAAAGATTTCATTCCCGGAGCAGCCCCCAAATGTAGTGCGCAGCGCCTACTGCTGCGACTCCGCCGCTACCTGCACCTCGACCAGGCCTACAAAATACACCTAGCGTAGGCCCATTTCCTGGAAACTGTAGCTTAATTTCATCGAAATACAATAATTCTTAAGTTTTTCAAAATCTGTCTGTTCGATTCGCCCCACTCTGGGAGCTCGCCTCCTAGGCCCTATGGGGAGGAGGCCTGCACTGGTGCCGGCGCTATCGCCAGCCCCAGTCTCCGCACATTATCAGGCACCTCTAACGTATGCATATTAATTCATAGACAATTTTCCTTACTTTTATCCTAGTAGGAGGGTCCTATCCTCCTCCAGTGTTGCAACCCCTTGTAGGTCGCTAGCGAGCTATCGTCTATAGGTCACCAGCAAGCCCCATTGTAGTGCCTGTGCACTACAGACGCCGCCGGTTATGCAATCAGAGCGGTCCTGGAACAAGACGGCACGCCCATCGGTTTCCTCAGTCAAGTCATGAACTCCACACAGCAGAAACGCTCGATATACGATCAAGAACTCGTGGCAGTGGTGACGGCCTTGAACAAGTGGTTTCACTTGCTTCGAGTTGCAAGGTTTACGGCTCATCATACTGATCGCCAAGCTCTCACCCATCTCCAGCGACTCCAAGCATCGAAGCTTCTGCCCGGACGCACCTCCCAGTGATTATATTTCCTGATCGAGTTCCCGGATTTGCACATTGCTTACATTCAAGGTGCGCGCAATCAGGTGGCTGATGCCTTGTCTCGCTTTTCCGGTCTTGCAAACACCTGCTCGCACGACACACCACCGACACCACCGACGTTTGCAGTAGCACAAGCGCGCCAGGCTCCTCGTTCTCGTGGTCTGCTCGCTAACTACAGGGAGCTCGCCAGCATTTGTTCGAGACGACCCAGACAACGCAGTTTGCCATCGCCACCTTCACTTGCGCCGCCGGAACACAATCCAGAGGCGGAACACCCTACACCTACAACGAAGACACCAGGTGACGCTCCTGATGTGCACTCATAGCCGCAAGCTTACTCAGAGTGTCCCGTTTTCCGCGCTCCCTACGAAACCACTGCAAAACAACCAGGAGACGTTATTCAGATAGGACTCCGTAATCGCCAATTCACCTCCCTCTATGTGCCGCCTTACCTGCACATTTGCTGAACTATGGAGAATCTGTGTCCCACAATTCCCTGAGTTCCTTACACACGCTCTGCATAAACACCATGACCATGTCACAGCACGCCACCGAGACCAGAAAAAGACCTTCACGGCTCTGAGCAAGCACTACTACTGGCCAGGAATGCGCGTCTACACTACTGCGTATGTTGAATCATGTGCTCCCTGTCGAGAGTCCAAGTCCCTTAACTAGAAACCTGTAGGCCTTCTTCAACAGCTACTCATCCCTTCTTGTCGGTGGGAGCACGTGAGCCTTGACGTTATCACAGATCTTCTCCTTTTAACGGCAGGGCACGGCTCGATTCTTGTGATGGTCAACTCCCTCAGCAAGATGGCCCATTTCGTTCCTGCAGAGAAGTCATTCACAGCAGCATACACCGTGAAGCTTCTCGCAGACCGCCTTATCCGCCATCACGGCTTTCCAGAGGTGCTCATATCGGACCGAGATCCCCGCTTCTCCTGGGACCTGTGGCAACGGCTCTGTAGCTATTTTGGCATCAAACGGCGGATGTCCTCGTCCTACCATCCCCAAAGCGACGGTCAAACTGAAAGCGTTAACCGCGCACTGGAGGAGATGCTTTGTACCTACATCCAATCTGACGAACGCAAGTGGGAGCGCTTGCTTCCGGGGTGAGGACTTTCCTACAACATGGCAAGCCATTCATCCACAGAGCTCTCGCCCTTCGAAGTCATGATCTGCGAGAACCCGCTGACTGCTGCGACTCTTGATATCCTAGGCACGTTAGCCCCTACGTTCACTCCTCCGATAACTAAGCTTTTCCGGCAGCTCTGCGAAAGAGCACAGAGCCACATCCTGAAGGCAAAATGGCAGCAGATATACTGCGCAGACACAAAGCGCCGAGCCGTGGAGTATGCAGTGGGCAAAAAGGTTTGGCTCAGCAGCGAGCACCTACCAGCTTCGACTAGCTGCGCTAAGCTCGAGCCCCGTTACCGAGGACACTTTAAAGTCATTGAACGTATACGGACCGTCGCTTACCGCCTCGCTTTGCCTCGTACTTATGCATGCCACAACGTTTTCCATGCTTCGAAGTTAGTTCCCTGTCGCCCCCGCCCTCCAGACTTGGTTTCCTAGAAAGCCGATACCGCCTGGCCCCCTATACGCGATGCAGCAGTCAGTCCAACAGAGGAGTATGAGGTCGATTATATTATGGAGAAGCGCGGCTCACGAGCTGACGCCCAGCTCCTCGTCAAGTAGCGCTGTACTCCCGAAGATCAAGTCACGTGGGAGCCCGCTCACCACCTAAAAGGGTGTCGCGCTCTGTTTCGTGCTTGGCAACGCGGCAAGCGAAAACGTCTTCAGGCTCGAAGCTATCTTGCTCCTTCCGAAACTTAGCGGTTTGGCTCCGTCAGCTTCTGCGGCCCGCAGTGCGGGCAGCCTTTCATGACGAGGGGGAAGGGAGCGCTGCGCACCGCATGCGCTTATGACATTAGCATCAGAAGGGAGCAGAGACCGAAAAAGCAGAAATCATGTGTTCGGGGTAGGCTGGATCAGTCCGGTAAGGAAGGACTTTGTAGTGCGCAGTCACTACAATAGGGCTTGCTGGTGACCTTCAGATGATAGCTAGCTGGTGACCTATACGAGGTTAAGAGATGAAGACTCTTATCGAGCGCGGAAACGTCTTACTAGTAAAATAGAAAAGCAATTTTTCAGCAAAATAACGTGTATAAACTAGACACGTCTACGAATACCCGGAGACTGGGGCTGGCGACAACGCTGGCGCCGGTGCGGCTCACCTTCCTACCGGGCAAAAAAAGCAAGAACCCTGAGGAGCGACATTTATGAAATTTGGTTTTCAGAACTCAGAACAAAACTACCTTTTTAATAATTTGGTGTTCGTTTCATGACTGATGCGTCGATGGTAGAGAGGATTTCAGAGAGTGCGCAAGTCGTGGGCCAGGTAGCATCGTAGTCGCTGCAGAGATCGCGGTGCACTAGAGAACCAGCGCCATTGTAGTCCCAGCACCTTCAGCTGCGACTCCGCTCCTACCTGGCCCAAAAATAGGTCGCCCTATAAAAATTTTTCTACCTTTGACGCATCTCTTATGAAGCAAACACCAAAATATCAGTAAAAGCAGTCATCTTCTCAAGTTCTGAAATCGATTTTCCTTGGAAGCTCCCCACTCAGGATTCTTGCTTCCTTGGCGGCCCTGTGGGTTGGTGGCCCGCACCGGTGCGGGCGTTTTCGCCAGCCTGAATCTTAGGATATTCACAGACATATCTACTTTACATATGCTATTTTGCAGATAAATTGTCTTACCTCGTTACTAGTTCCTCCCCTCATTTAGCGTGTTAACCTCTTATAAGTCACCAGCTAGCTATCGTCTTAAGGGCAAGTCCTATTGTACTGCCTGCACACTACAGCCATCGTCTCCGTTACACGATTGTCCCCATACACTGAACATTCTGTGATGCGTGGAATGCCATGCACCGACCTTCAGCGCGTTGCGCGAGCACACAAAAGTCGCGCAATTACTTTGGTAGGCGAGCTGCCCGCAGTTTGGCTCTCACATAAATTTCTTTGACTGATTACGAAAATGTATACCTGCCTCTACTCACTAAATGAAACGAAACATAAATTAAAAACAACAAAGCCTCATCCTTCGTAGGGAAAGACTGCTGTTCCATTCTCTGTCTGTCCGCACGCCCATTGGCACCACCACTCTAATACTGCATGCCACAAAGCCTGGGATAAGCTGCAGTGAAGACTATCTCCAATCTGCTATGAAAGTAGGCTTCTTTGTGTGGTCTTTCTAGTCTTGCATTAGTCGTTCTTGTATTGGACTAAGTAACCGTTTAAGGCTGTTAAACTGCCAGCCAAAAGCGCCGGGGATAAGCTGCAGTGAAGCCTAGAACCAAACTCCTATGGCGCTGAATGTCTTTTCATTTTTCTAGTCACATATTAATCGTTCTAGGATTGAACTATATAACCTCTAGAGGTTCTTTACTGCCAGCATTTAATCTCTAGAGGTCGTTTTCTGCCAGCCACAGAAACCTGGGATTAGCTGAAATGAATCCTAGAAGCACCCTACTATGAAGCTAATTTTAATTGCTTAGTTTTCTTCGTCAAACATTAATTGTTCAGGTATTGAACTATATACCATTCGAGGGCTTTTTGGGCGGAACACACTGTTACGCTGCATATTGCATTCGGCTTAGCCTACATCCCGTTAGCTGAGGTGATTCGACTTAGACATCTGCGAAAAAAGTTGAACATTGCCATTAGCACTCAGTCATTCCCATCATCGCCTCAGATTAGTGCCTTGGAAGTGCTCTCTCAAGACAAAAACCTTCTACCACGGAGTTTCAGGCAGCACTACACTATGGCAGGGCATGTGAAAATTATAGCCCTCGTTTCAAGCGGACAGCCGAAACCGCTGAGCTGGAAAGGCTAATTAAAGGCAGCCGAAAACTGAATTTCGAGTTTTTGAAGGCTCATGAAATCGACTCACGCTGCTTTGCGCAAGTGTAGTGACGGTGCGGCCTTCGCCGGGTCACCACTCCGCGCGTTGCAGTGGTCTGGAGGGCTCACGAATGGGGTTCACGAATCAGGTTCACGAAGCGAACATGAGCACGCCAATCCATAATATTATTTTGAAGGTAAGAAACTAATTAATACAGCACCATATTCAGCAATTGGCAGACCTTGCCAAACAAGTGAGCAAGTTGCGCGTGTGAATTGGAACTCGATGGTGCTCCAGAGGATGCATACCTAGTGCTATCTCAAGTCGACTGTATCGACATATTGTCAATGTGTCTACGTTTCTTACTGTGTCTTACAACTCTATATTACTGAAACTTCATCTTAAAGCAACATTGACTGTTTTAGCACCTCGGGAATGCGGAGCTGGTAGTAGGAAATGAGCCCTTCCTCGTTCCGGCTGGTCCACAGCACACCACAGCGCGAACACGAACCCCATGCTCACTGAAGAACAGCTCACAGAATGCACTGATACGCATGATCAAAAGACAACAACTAATTTCCTACACTGTCGTATTTCGC